TTGTTGTTGTTGTTGTTGTTGTTGTTGTTGTTGTTGTTGTTGTTGTTCCGCTCGCCTCCCATGGGTTTGGTCCGCTTATACAAAGCCGGGACGTTGGTATCGATTTTAGGATCTTTTAGGAGCGTCATGTCCCATTCTTCACCGCCGCTACCGGTTTTACATGACATGAGTTTTACTGCACATGGTTTTCCAGTCCTTTAAGAGGGGTTGATTGATTCATGAACGGTCTACATTTCGGGAAAGCTGGCTGACTGCGCAAAAATGCTTGAGGACTTCACCAGCAGTGGATTATAAGTCTATAGATGACTTATAATGTTTTGTGGGTTGGATTTTGGGGATGTCAGTCTGACAGGCCTAACAGGGAACATCACTATGTTACAGATGTCGGCCTGAGAGGGAATAAGATACACCGAAGTTGGATTCATCAAGACAGACCTCTCCAGTCCCTGGGGGTTTGGATGTATCGATTCCTGGAGCCGACCCACCTGGTCATCTACCGGTCATCTACCGACCCACCCGCGCGGGTGCGAACCGTCGATCGGTGGGCAGCCCACGGTGAGGACAACGATGGCGATGGCAAGGCGTCGGGTGTTTGGCGCGTGACTGGCCGCGTGACACGAGGTGTCGAAGGACGGGGATGTCGAAGGTGATGTGGGTCAGGTCGGACATACAGTCCACAGACCCAGTCGAAGCGTGGCCGTAGTCCGAGAGTGGCCGCGGAGTTTGCCTATATAGGCAGTGTAGAGTGTAGAGAGCCCAAACGCTTTTACGGAGAACTGGCCAGGAAGATACTACATACAAAGGGACCAAAGGGATGCCATCCACGGAGGATATTGGTGCCCAGAACAAACCACTCACTTGGATACTAAACACCACCCCGACATGTGATTCCTGGGAGAGCTTACTTGACGAGTTTTTGACATGATCAAGGGGGATGAGCAAATCCATTGCAGCCATTTTGCCTTTACAACCTCCTAGCACTGCCCAGATACCGAGTCGTCGCAAGATTTGTGTTCCCTCCCCGCCTCGAAGCGGCCTTACATCCGCCTCTCTGGGTGTTTGGATGTCGAGCACGTCGCTAGCGCACGTCGCCGCACGGCGTGCAGGTCACGACCTTGGATGAGGTCAGGACGCTCATCTTCGGCGATGCTGGGCGAAAGCAGCGGGTGGAGTTGATGTGTTCCAGGGCGCCCCACGTTGGTGGTGTTCATGGACATCCCGAGCTCAACCTCTAAGGGGATATAATTAGACACCCCGGTTGATACTTTACTTTTTGGGAAATGGATCTTAACCGGGCTAGGTTGAGATCCTTTGTCCTTCAGTTTTGTTTTTGGGGAGCGTGACTTACAACATCAACCCAGAGTTTGGTCATTCAATGCGTCCTTGCTCATGTGCTAGCAGCATCCAAATGGAAGTGCATTAAGACAAAGATCACAGAACAGGCCTACGTTCGAGCATCCTCCTCATTTGGTTGCCAATCAGACCCACACTGAGGAGAGAGAGAGAGAGAGATCAGGCCAGGTGTTTTTTTCTTTAGATCTCGAACTAGGTTTGATGTAAGCCTTTACCGCCCCCTTGGTCCTGTACTCAAAGTATGTCTAATTAACGTAATTAAGTAAACTAACTTGCACTCGCAACAACACCATTCTCACACCCAAAGACAATTACCAACTGCAACATGTGTCAGGCCGCTTCACAAACAAACCTCTCAAAGTTATGAAGGCACGATGACACATTTAAACCCCCCATATAAAAACGTGCTTTTGCATCCACATGAGAGGTATTTATTCATCAACAACCTACATATTAGTCTTGTGGACAGATGGTTCAAAAGCCGTCCATTTGGTTCCAGCGTGTTTTGCGGCTGCTTTTGGCTTCAAAGCAAAGCTCAGCGATTTCAAATAAGCCGCCGTTTGAACTGTCCATGAAGGATGCCAGAGCAAGTCATGAAATGCCTATCATCGAAGAAAAGGCTACACAGGGTGGGCAAGTAACTCCCCGAAGGTGGATGATTAATGTTGAGGAGGTTAGAGAACTGATTTGATCTGTTTTGAATTCTGGTGGGTGGTGGAGCTACATGGCCCTCAAGAGCCTCCCTCAGAAAGCAACTGATTTGCAGACTCGTGAGGCTTTCACCATAGCAGCTTTATCACCATTTTTTTTGTTGGGCGAGCCATGCCAACCTGCAGCTCAAACTCATTGAGCCTCATATGGTGGTACATCAAAACAGCACTCTATTCAACAGACTGTTTGTGAGACCCTTCTCTTTTCAACGGAAAACTGCCTCACCACCCCTCCACCACCGCATCGGTCCGGAGCTACTCCGCCGGTCCGGGCATGGATCCGGTCCATGGCGCAGCAGCGGCAGCGCTGGGGTTGAGTACGTTGGACGCTGGGTGCTGTGGGTTCGCGGCCGTGCTGTGGGGGCTGGTGGATGAGTGGTAGCAGATGGCGCCATCTCGATGGCGCCAGTGATTCTGAAACCACTGTAGACTAATATAGGTTACTGTATGTTACTGTAATTCTTGGTAGGGGTTACGATGGTTGAGGGTTGATGTATAGCTACGATAGCTAGGCTTTCCGTCTCTTGTATAGGGCTATGATGGCTTGAGTATGGTTTGGCAACCTTAGAGCACCAGTGTTTCTTTTGCTTTTGGTGTGTAATGTTATGCGTGGATATGTTTGAGTTTTCCCTATGTGCATAAGTAGCAGTGATTCGTTTTGTTGGATTTTTGGCAAGCACGGTAGCCCTCATGCCAACAAAGGTGCCCAAATCCAAGAAACAACACAAGAACCACAGGAACATGGTGGTCCTCATGGAGAAAACATCCTGCCTAGCTGCTAAGGGTGTGATCCTCATGCTCTTTCAGGCGTTTTACAGTCAACATCCCTTGCCACTCTACTTGGTCCGCCGCCTCTGTGCCGCCCACCTCTTTGCGTGCCTCTTTCTGGAGCTTCGTCAGGCCCACCTCTTTTTCGGAAACGGTGCGACGGGTTCGTCGGATTCGACGCTGTGGAGCTGTTCGGGGGCCTGGATTCGACCGAAGCCTTTTCTTCCCAGCATCGCAGTGACCTTTGCAGATCACAGAATGAGATCACTGACTTATCTTGAAAAGGTCACTTACCAATCCTGAACTTAGCTTCACTGGGAAGCTCCTGGTAGATAGAGATTCCTACCATTGGCGGATCAAAGCTTGGCGCCTGTAGGTTGAAGACGAGGTACTCGTACGGTGGCACCTTCTGACTCAGCCTGGTGTTCTTCTGAGTGACCGTCAACAACCCTCAAAAAAGAACCGTGATTTGCTGACCTCCAAGTCCAAGTGAGAACCATCCACATATTCCCAAAAGAACTAATTCAGTCCAAGCCGGTTTGAACAGTACCTGTGGCGCCTCTCACACTTTCTACTCCTTCAGCTTTTTGCGATGTATCCCTACAAATCTATTTCAAAGGCATCTAAAATCAACCTTATAAATCCACCCCCAAGACTCGTACCTGTCAACGCGTGCCTGACCAGGTGTTCATCGAAGATTCCGCCTTCCCTTCTTCTCACACCTTCGCACAGCCACATTCTTCCTCCAGCTTCTTCAGTTCGTGACCTCTTTGGAGTCCCATCCGGTGACCTTTTAGAGGCCCGAAATCGTGACCTCAAACTGGGAGATCAAAAGGTCACGAACTGAAGAACCAGGCTCATGTTTCCAGACGCTTGCTTTGCTTTCCAGGCTTTGCTTTCCCACACCTGTGCACCTTTCAGATGTTCTAGAATGCTATCAGACCTGTTCACAGCCAGCTTCGCCAGCGTCCCACGACTTCGTCGTTGGGTCACGTCGTGGGAAGTCACGTGGAGGCGAACATTTGGACCCAATTCACGACTTGGACCTTAGCACTCCACGTGCTCTTCTTCGGCCTCTGCGAGCGCGGGCAACCCTTCCTCACGCGCCTCTTGTGGCTGGGCGGAACACGTCAACGGATTGGATGCGGCCGTCACGTGGCTGGGGGCCTCGGTGGAAGACATGTGCAAACAAACAGGCCCCTCCGCAAGTCCGCAAGTCACATGGTTTGATGGCAGCGCCACCCAGTTTTAGAGGACCATTTTGGCCACCGAGCCATCACCGACCTAACGGCTCCACTTCGAATGTCATGGTCTTCGGATGGTCTTCGTCATCCGAACGAGTGAAAGGCCGTGCGTTCTCCACGATATTCCATGATTATCTCCGTCCACAGTTCCATCCACTTATCCATGATCATCCATCCACTTATCCATGATGATTCCAGCCAGGGAGTAGCAGTATAAGATAGGACCAGGACCCCCTAAGGGGTGTCTAATTATAGCTCCTTAGAGGTTGAGCAGTTGAGCTCGGGACGTCCATGAAAACCACCCCTTTTTTGTGGGCCCTGGTATAAGCCCATTTATTGTTGGAATTGTCCTGCTCCTAATGCAGCTCCGCAATGCTCCTGGACGTTTCAGGCAAAAACTGAACAGTGCATCTGGCGAGAGGGAGAATCCCCTGGCCATGCCTGGCCGAATGGGTTTTGCATGTTTTTGGCGTTTGTTTTCCTTCTTCCAGGGGGTGAAACTGGCAGGTCTCCCTATTGTAATACACCCCTTCTATTCAGACCCACCATGCTTCCAGGCATGGCCCAAGCTTCGGTGGCTCTCATGCCATTTTGGTCAACTATCTCTACGCAACCCTCGTCACTGGAGCCGTGGAGCCCACGAAGCCGGAGTCGAGTTCCGCGTGGGATTGGAGTGGATGGATTCGAGTGGTGCCTTGGCAAGTCCGAGGGGTTTTTAACGTTTTGAGTTTTGTTTGATCTTTTCCCTAGAAGTCCAAAGACTATATTTTGACCGGCTGAAGTAAAGGAAGTTCCCTTTCAGACTATTCTTTTTATAGTCTTTGACTCCCAGGGTTTTTCTTGTCCAAACTGTATTGCTTGCACCGCAAACGGCACCTCTATTGAATGAGAATTCCTGGCATCGGTTTCCCAAAGCGAAAGGCTCAAGCATCCTCGCAATTAAGAGCAAACCATGACGTCAACATACCGCAGTTGATAGATGTTGATAGAAGATTGTTGTTGTTGTTGTTGTTGTTCTTGTTTCCGTCGTCTTGTTTAGTTTCCACGCGGTCGATTTAGGCACCTAGCCCAGGTAGCTCTCCATTTAGGCAGTGGTATCCGTCTTCGTTGTTCTGGCGGGATTGGGTGATTCACGGATTGTGGGACCAATTCCCAGGATGAGCGTCATGCCTTCCCCCCAGTGACTCCCACTGGTCCACCGCTTCCTGCCTGCAGAAAGGTGCCCTGCGTGCTTCATTGGGTGGATGGCATTCTCAACTTCAAGGACTGACGGGTGAGGGGTCATGTCGTGGCGTCAGAGAACATCTATAGGAAGCCTAGGATGCGGTCTCCAGATGTGCTCCTTGGTTCAGTGGGAAGATTCCAACAATATAACACTATCATTTGCATGCGTGAAGTTGGAGGCCAAGTAGGTTGCAGGCCATCGCTAGTAGGTTGAAGCACCCTTGGCCCTCACAAAAGACGATCGTTAGACCTCATCCGGACCACGTGCTGGCTAAAACGGTTTGTCACAGAAGTCTGATGATTGCGAGGTTCGAGTTTTGTAAGTGGATGGGATCCAGGAATCCAGTACACATGGTCATCGACATGTGTTTCCTTCCTGGGATCCAGTGATCCAGTACACATGGTCATCGACATGTGTTTCCTTCCTCTAGCCCAGGACCTTCAGAAAGCCTATAGCCCACCGGTCACCGACTCCTCTGCCTGGGATGCACGTTTGGGCAGAGCGATGCTTTATGCTGGCTCGCGAGTGGCTGGGTGAGAATCGAGCCAGTTGGTCATTGGATGTCATTTGGATCGTTGGCCTGAGTTAGACCAGCGGCGGTTCTGAGGAGGGTCTGACCGGGTATGAGTGGTTACGGGCCAGCTTCGCCTTTTGGAACATGTTGTCTTGAAAGATTTGTTGCTTTCTGGGTGATTTTGTTAAAGACACTTTACAGTATATAGACTCGACATTTTAAGGGCCTGACCTGACTCAACTTTGTACGCACTTTCCAAAGAGGGTGTGAATTTACTCCCACAAGAAGCCAAGAGGATCTTCCTCAAAAGGTTTAGCCATTCACATAGAAATTTGAAGACGGCCTTTTCCACTTATATTGAGTTTATATACAGACTGATTGGCCGGGAGTGGACTCGAGTTTTCATGTGCTCATCCTCCCTCTCATCTCACACCTGCCCAACCCACCGGCACGGACCCTGAAGAGGTCATCCTACGCGCGTGGGCCGCAGCTCTTGGCTATTTGGCGCTGGCGGCGCTCTTCGCGGCTTTGTCCTCGGACCTGGACACGGCGAGGGCGGCGCCTTGGTTGGTGCCAGTCCATGCGACAGGGTTGATACTTCTATAGGAAGTATACCTCGGCAGTCCTGCCAGGGTCATGCGACATGGTAGGGGGTTGTAGAAAGACACAGTCCAGATGGACATGGTGCTCGAAGACAAAATGAGAGTTGAGTTTCACATACATACGATCATATACGGCCCTCGGGAGAGAAACTCCTGTTCAAGACCGTTCAGAACCTCCATCCTCCTCGGCAGCGGCATGGCTTCAGACAAGCCAAGAAGTTTTCACTTTAGACTAGTGAGACTACTGACGTATCTAGATCCATCTACCACCCCACAGATCATTAACCACCGCTTCAAACAGACCTGGTAATTTGGTCTTAAAAGCCCTGTCGCTGCTGAGGTGAGGGAGCTCAGCTTCTTCAAGTTCTTTGAGGTCACAGATGCTTTTCTTGGAGTTTGGCGAGCCCCCCCACACACACTTAGAAGAGAGCTCGCAAGAGGCCGCAAGAGCATATGTTTTGGATTTTGGTGTTCAGCTCTGGATTAGACCTTTACGGTTGCCACAATGGACCTTGACACACACACACACAGAGCTTAGAGATGGATGTTGTCCATCAGATGTGTGTTTGAAGTGCCTATCTCAAATATGCCTGAGGGAGTTGCCCCTTTTCCCTAAGGTGCTTCGAGTGGAGGGTTGTTGGGTGCCGTTGTTTGTTCCAAAGAAATCGTGTAACAGGAAGTTTCCGCACATTTTGGTAAAGGGATGTGTATAAATATAGAGTGTCTTCTATCAAATGGGAATCATTGGTCGCATGCTGCTAGCTTTTGCTTGTATTGTCCAATTGTTATCATGCAATTATAAGATTGCATCTTTATTTTACCCGGAAACAGTGAAAAGGCAGTCTTGGTCGTTCTCGGTGGTACTATGTGGTAGTGCAACCCGTAGGCTTGCAGTCACCTTGGAAGACTGGCACACACACACGCACTTTCACATGATTTCGCACACCAAGGATATGAGGGAGGTTCTGTCTTTAGCCTCGACCATCATTTCCTACACCGTTTTCACGCATCGGCTATTTGTGATGCCTGATCCGCCGAAGAAGGCTTGACTCAGTCCCCTGGAAGCAACGGATGGAGGATAAACTCCACTGGTTTGGGACACCACTTCGGCAACCGTTCATTGCAGTGGACTTAAAGATGTTAATCACATATATATATATATATACTGTATATATCCTGCACCAGCCCTTGAATAAACCCTGGCGAGAGGACACCATCTACTGTGTTCTCCACAAGATTTGCTGAGATACCACGAATTTGTTGAATTTCTTGATTGTATTTGACTTGAAGCACATACAAAACTCTAAAGAGGAGCTGAAGGAAGTTTCAGCAACTATGTTAAACTTGTTCCCCGAGATCGGACTTCAGAAAGCGGATCGAAGCTGGACTTTAGACCTGAATAATTCTCATTTCTTGCCTTTGGGAGATCCAAGACCTGCTATCAATGGTCGTTGAAGTCAGTGGTGGCAGCTTGTGGGTGCAACCCATGAAAAACACAAAAGAAACACATGTGTCTTGCATTGCTTTGCTTCGTTTTGACGGTTCATACAGTGACCATATCCCAGCCAAGGTCTCAGATGTGCCAGAGGACAGCAGCCTGCCGCAAAGTGCAGCAGCTGGCAGCCTGTGTGAGCTCAGCTAGTGCACTTGGGGCCATGCCAGAAATTGTTGTTTGGAACTATGGACATCCTCAAGAAGGGGACAGCCCAAATCAGTCCAATAATGTCAGTAATGGCATGTTGCATGAGTGTTGTTAGCTTATTTGATTGCAAGCAGGCTTTGCTTGTTTGAGATGTGGCAATGGCCCCTGTCATCCGGTGTCACCAGCATCATCCGGCAGAAAAGGAAGCGACGTCCGAGCAAGGAAAAGAAACACAGAGTGGAACAAAGACCCTGCTGTTCATGGAGAGTAGCTGGCAAGGACTTCAAAGTAAGATACTCCTTCACTTCAGCTCCTTTTGAACAGGCATCTATCAACATGTCCGAAGGCTTCCTGATAAAATGTCCAAAGGTTTCCTGATAAAAGGATTTTGGAGACATGTCAACGATTTCATCCATTAGTTGGGAGGTTCCCCCAACACACACCTTTGATCCCAAAAATGCTGAGCTTCAGCGAGCCATTCAGCAGTTGGTGAAGCAGGCTTCGTGACCTGACCATTGCACCCATACATTGGAATGGTCTCAGAACAGCAGTCTGGGCTGCTCTCAGTGCCCTCTCTTCGCCACACCCAGACTTACACAGAAATGAGAAGATGCCACACACCCTGCCTAGAACATCCTAGAACCAGATAATAGAGGACCCAGAACCACGCCCCACCTCATAGAACCTTCAGAACCTTCACCCCTCACCGAGTTCCTCGCCTTCCGCTGCATCACCGCGCATCCGCGCATCTGGCGCTCCGTGCGTCCCGAGGATATGCTGTCCCAGCCCGCAGCCCCGAACCGGCCCTATACCGAGTGCCCAGACATCCCGGAGCTACAACGACAGGCGAAGTAGAGCGGGCTTGCGGTCTGGCGAACGCGGGAAGAGAGCTGAAAGAATCGGAATGGTTGAATGGGGAACCCGCAAGTAGGTTGCCCTATCTGTTAAAGGCGTTGTGCCTCAGATGATTTTTACATAACTGAACTGCATGGGGGGCCAGTAGGGGGGGGTCCATCGTGTGTTTTTCTCGGATCACGGCGTCAACGGCAGGTTGAGTCGCACTTGGAGCAGTACAACTTGATGTCAACAAAGAAGATGGACTTAGTATGCAGCCTGGCATGGTCGGTGGCGTGGGGCGCTGGACGTATGTGGCACGACCAGGGAGCGGACAATTGGCATGTTTAAGACTCTCCCTAGGGCTCCAGTCGTACCTCAGAAGGTATTTGGACCCTCTGAACCCACCCCAGTCCCACCGAAACGAAACGAAGGTACGACTGGAGCCCAAACGGGTAGTGCATTTGTTTGCCAACATGCCGATCTTGGAGCTCATGGAATGCGCAGATTCGCGGCGCTCTATCGAAGCTGTGGAGAGGATTCATTCAAAGATTCCCTGCCCGCCTGGTGCGAAATGGCAGTTCTCATCGGGGCTGGTTCATTGGTTGTGGTGGTACTGGGATGTACCGCAGTATTTTGGGTCTGTCCTATTACCTGCAACAGTCAGTAAACAAATAGACAAAATACCATAATAATCCATTGCTACTGGTAATAGGATAGACCCCACGAGTATCACTCAACCAGCCAGGGTTCGTGGTTTCCCCATTCGTTCATCACCACCTGAACACGATGTCTCACAGCCTGAACATGGTGATGTCAACACCCCTCGTGTCGCTGTCAGAGAGAAAGGAGCACATCTTTTTCAGCGCCCCAAGCTCCAAAACAACCGTGTTTCTTCCGTATGTTTATCGTTTCGTTTGGAATTCTGGTCGCGACCAGGACGGGGCTTGCCCCGAGCCGCAAGTCTTGAGAAGCCGATGGCCATAACGGATGGCTCAAGTTCTTTCATATAGGAGTATGCTGCATCTGTACAGGTCGAAGGTCAAAGACCACATGTTGCTGGAGTTTAGTACCAAAGCACTACTAAAGGGACTGGGCGGACTGGGCGTCTTGTTTGATACGTTCCAAAGCCATGCAGCTATGAACAGACTGAACAAACATCACAAAACATGCTACTGTAACATTCCGCAAACACAGTCAAACTGGTCTCTCATGGGTCAATTTTCAGGGTCCATGGGATCGTCTCCGGGAGGTACGACTTGCAGGGGGGCCAGTTGTGTGTATAATCTGGGTCTTCATGTGTTTCTTCTGCTTCGCTGGTTCACACACACAACACGCCGCAGCAATAAGATTGGAAGTTTGAGTGCATGCGGAGTGCTTTTTGGGTGTGTTGGTTTGGGTGTGTTCAACGGTCAAGACGCAAGACTTCAGGTCTTGGGGTGTTCAACCGCTGGTGTGGGGGTGTGGAGACGGCATAGTTTTGCTGGATTCTTGGGGTCCAGCTCACCTTGTCAATACATTTTTAAAAGGGCACCACAAGAGGTTCTCCACGTGGTTCATGCCGCGCTGATCATTTGATCCCTTTTAATCAGGGATAGCCCTGATTCACTTGCACTGCATAGCCCACGAGGCTTCCTCTACATGTTGGAGCACCTCTCACGGGTGGCGCGTGTTGTGAAGACTCCTGGGGGCAATGCCTTGCTTGTGGGCGTGGGTGGCTCTGGGCGGCAATCCTGCAGCCGATGCTCGCATGGATGACTAAGCAGGTGATGACTTTCCATTTGATCAAGGAGTCTTTTTGACCGGGTCAGAGTAGGAAAGAAGTTTGAAGACACTTTACAGGGTTGGCTTAGCTCCTATTGCAACTATATATGCAATTATGTTAATTATATCTTCCTTGGAACAATCATGGAGGTGGCCCCTGGAAAGGCAATTTTCCTCTACAAACAGGACAGTTTCCACTTCCATGATTGCTCCAGGGAGTGTAGTGTTTGGATGCTTTTGGGTTTGGACAGTGGGTGGGACAGACGTCTTCATGGGGCCTTTTTTCTTCCCAAACAACATCATTCTGGGATACATTTTAAGGCTGATTTGCGGTGTTCTTCACCAGACCTATGTACGATGTAATATAGTCGTCCTGGATTGGATCGAATATTGGCAAATTAACAATATGTTTGGCAAACACCAAGCGGAAACTGCATCGCATTTTCGGTTTGGCCATACCTATAAAGTCACACCCGGCCTACCAGCACCTTCAAAGGGGTCACCAATGGAAGCCCCAGCCCACTACTTAGGGATCTCCATTAAACGCCCCTTGAAGGTCTAGGTAGGTATTCCATGTACTCCCAGTTGAACCCGATCTCAATGCGAGGATTGGCGTGCTTCCTGGCAGATTTCGACGTCTTCCAGCGACTTGGACGGTGGACGGGTGAAGGGCAGGCCGCTTCGTGGTGTAGGCCGGGATGAGTAGACACAAAAGAATTGAAGCCCCAATGAGATAAGGAAGAGGGGTGAAGTGGAAAGAAGAATTGCCATGTAGGAGATTTTGGAGATTGGAGAACATATCTGGTTAGGAATAGGGAGTTTGGAGGCAGACTGGACTACTGGGGGTTTGGTGACAGGAGGGCGGCACAGATGATTCATAGCCGCACTAAGCTGCCCTTCTATACTTTCTCCGCGACGTTATTCTTTTCAGGTACGAGGCTTTTTTGCTGCTTTGATGTGCTATGGTGTTCTTATGTTTGGTTTACTCCGATAGTGCAAGATGACGCTCACGTTGCAGGCCCTTTCAAACCAACCAAAAGGACCAAGACGTGTGAAAGGTGTCCGTTGGCCTACCTGGGGGAGTGAAATCTCTCACATACACAGTGACACACACACACACTTACTTGTTTAACATTCTTCTCCCCGCCCTGCTACCTCCAAAGTGGTAATCAGGGGTCACGCCCTGGCCGCAGATTTAAAAATCAAAGATACGTAGCTAACAATCATGCTTCTCCTAGACCGAGCCGATCTTCATCGCCATGAACTCATATTGCCCCGAGGATTGAGATTGCACGGGGCTACGACCAAGTGGCCTTCCGCGAAGACTTGAAGAAGCTTTTGACCGCTGCGGGTGGCAAGGGGGAGAAAACGGTCTTCCTCTTTTCGGATTCCCAGTGCCTTGGATGATGGATGATTGCAATGGAGATGCCTTTTTTGAGTCTCTCATTTTGCCAAGATGGGATGACTTCAGAGAAACTCGGGTGTTATTTTGGCTCCTGGAAGGTAGGTCAGCAACCACAAGAGAACGTGCATGGTCGGATCCTGTTATGGATGGCAATTGGAAAAGGCATGCCAACACCCAATATTTACATGTAAACATATGTAAACACATTCTGTTTTTGGTTGCATCAGGAGCTGATGACAAGGATTCGATGACATCCGCGAAGCTGTGAGCTGCAAGCTATTGCAAGCTGCTCATTTTTCTAAGGACAAACAACAAAAAGATAAAAGACACATATTCTGTGGCCAGATCCTCGAAAAAGACAGCAAAAAAGCCATCCAAAGCTGAGGATCAAGAGCGAAGGCTTCGTCGAAGACTTGAACAACTTGCTGTTCCTTGGCCAGGGCCAGGTGCTTTTGTTTCTTTGAGGGATGACATGCAGGCCTATATGACCTGGGGATCTTCTCAAGCAAGAAAAGCCAGGGAAACCTGCTCAACGTCACAATAATTCAATGTTTCATGATTGATTCCAATTGTTATTCAGCTATTCAGGCTATTCAGTATTTTTTCCTTTGACCCTTTTGCCACTCTTCCACTGCTTCCCCCCCCTCCCACCAGCTCCACCTCCAGCCACCGCGAGGAACACCGGCGAGGTGCCGAACCTCTTCGCGCCGGACGAGCGGGTGCAGGTCTGTGAGATGGTGCGCGCGGCCGCGCGCCAGGAGGGCAAGGCCCCGGAGGCTCGGTCCGACGGCGGCGGCGCGGGGCGCGGAGAAGCGCGTGGGGGCAGGGCCTTTTTGGTTAGGTCGTGGAGGCTTCGGTGCGTGGTTGGAGCGAGTTCGGTGGGTGGGGTGGCTTTGGATCAGTGGGTAGGGGATGGATTTGTGATCTACGGATGGGCAGGGTTTCCAGGAGTAATGAAGGTCACCTTAGGTCAGTCATAGTCGGTCTTGCTGCGTGTCCTCGTGCTGCCGTTTTTAGGAGGGCAGCCACCCTGGACTGGTGAAGAAGTCTTTGAAGCTTTTGGGATGGCACACAGCTTTCATGCAGTCCCCCTACAATCCTTTGCACACGGTGCAGAGTTCGTCACTTGGTGGGTTTCCATGTCAGGAATTGAATTGTAAAGTCCTCCAATCCGTGGAAGAAAATTCCATCAACGATCAATCATATGGTATACAGTGGTTTCAGAGTAGATGGCACAGACCTCAAGATGTCCTTTACATGGCGGTTCATATAAACCACCTCTTGGGATTTGTGCCATCTACTCTCAATCCACTATATCAACGATCCTTTTTCAGGTGTCAATCAACGTTATCAATCAACCAGCACAACCCGAAGTTGGGTGCTTATTGGATGGAAAATGCATAGTCAGGGGGTCTGAGAAAAAAAAGAAAGCTGAACTGGGTGGTGCTGGAACTTTTAAGTTCTTTATTTCCAATGGTGAACCCAACGATCCTCGCCTTCCCTTTGGTGCAAAGCTCCTCAAAGCTTCAGGGCACTCCAAATCAACTCTACGCCTACTTTGTGGAGCGCTGCCAGCAGCTTGGCGGATGTAGCTCTCTTCCCCTGTTTTGTTTGGGCTGGAAGTTCGCCTCGGGCCTCTTACAAATGCACCAGAGCTTCTGAACCAGGAGTCACATGTCGGGGTGGTTTTTGGTCCCAAAGTGAGTGGATGTTCTGGGGACCCCTATCCTCCAATAGGCACCCCTTTGTGACTCCTTGAAATGATTGATGTTTTAAACAATATGTTCAACCTTCTGTGAGTGAAACGGAGGAGTTCCCCTGCCGTTCCGCTTCTGTTTTTGGATCCGCTTTTTGACCTCGGTCAGTCTCCAGAGTTTGGCAGATTGATGGCCGAAAGGGATTGATTGGGTGATTTGAGAGTTATACCATCAGAGGTTAAGTGACCTTATAGGACCCTACAGGGGTACCTATAGGATAGTCTATGGGGTTCTTCAACCTCTGCTGGTAGGGCTGGAGATGATTTTCCAAACGGCATGCAACATTTTAGACATGTTTTTGAGGGTACTGCAGCCAGACTAGACTCACTGATTAGACATCTCACATGTATAGACATCGGGTCGGGTTATGTTTTTCGTAGACGAGGAAGGCTTCCCCTGTGGGGTGTTGTTATGGATTTGTTGATCTACGGGCCATTTTACTTCCACTAACAGTGGTTCAATATGGTTCAATAGGAATCAATATATCGCTCCACCGATCGGGCGTGAGAATCCCCATGTGGAGACCCTTTTGCGGAGACGAACGCCCGGGAGACCAGGAAGCAAGACTTGGGAGAGGTTGTCTCTTTTTGGTGGTCCTACAGTGACATTCTTACAGATCGGATAGTTGGAATTATTCTTCAGCCCGGACACTCCGTGTATGTCATATTTACCTAGATTGGGCATTGGGGTGGTAGTGGTACAGACGATGGGATAGACATGGATAGACTATAAGGTTTGTCATGGCTTGTCCCATTGCCTGTAACAGTCACAGTCAAAAGAGTATCACTTTACCAACCATCAGGTTTTTTTTTCGCTTGCTGGTGTCTAACCTCTCGGATGGACCCGATGTTGTTACCCGTTCGCCGTGACAGAGATCGCGTGTTCGTCACCTCTCCAGGAAGTTGTTGGCCATCGTCCTGTGCTTCTCGCCCATTGGAGACGCCTGGCGCGCACGCATCCGACAGCGCCTCGGTGGTGACACACGACGGTGACACGATGGGACCGGACGGAGGGTGAGAGCGGGTCGGGTGAACTGAGAGTGGCAGAGAAGCAAGCATCAGGTATTTGGTGGAGATCCTTAAGTAGTGGGATCTGGTAGTAGTGGGATCTCCATTAAGTAGTGGTATTTAATGGAAATCCTTAAGTAGTGGGCTGGGGCGCCCCCGACATGAAGGCGACCCCGACATGAAGGTGCTTGGTGGAAATCGGAAGTGAACCGTTGGACTTCTCCATGTGCGATGCTGGACTCCAGCACGCCCAACCTGCGTGCTTGTGGCCCACACCACTCACATGGATTTGTTGGGGTTTAGGTTCAGATGACAAGGTCATTCACACCATCCCATTCAATTGGTGCTAACAAAATGCTTGTTTGCCCTTAGGCAGCCTCCAAAAAACGGCACTCCACAATTCTCTACATCCAGTTCTTCCCCAACCCTCCTGAACCGTTCATCCCAAAACACCCTCCCTCCACGACCTGCCCTTCCACCGCCACATCCTTCCACCACCCCGTCCGGGTGCCCTGTCCGCCGCCCGTCTCCCTGTGAGGTTCCCATCTCTGGTGAACTGCTGCACCATCGACTGGTACACCGAGTGGCCGGCGGATGCCCTGGTCGCGGTGGCCGAGCGGTTCTTGGGTCAGGCGGCGGCACCCCGGGCGTAGGCGGAGCGGTGAGGGCATGTCAAGCACCAAAAACGGCAGGTTTTTCAGGTTGCACTGTAGAGCTGCAGGTGCATTGGAGACCTCTCCTTTGAAGATTGAAGCCTTGCAAAAGGGATCAAAAGGGGAAAGAATCAGAAGTTAAGGGATTAGACCAGGGAAACCTGGCCGGTGCCCAAGCTCACCAAGCCTCACCGGTCACCGCTTCGCAAGCATGCAGATCGGAGGGCCGTCGCAGAAAATCCGTGTGAGACCGTGTGACCCAATGCTCCAGTAAGTATCAGACCCAAACTGGAGCAAAAACAACCTCATTTTCTTCACTGCAGGTCTTGGGACTGTTTCTTCAAGATCATTGACTGATTTGCAATCCAAGCCACCTTGGTGTTGGTCCCCGTTACTGCCTGTGCGAAAAAGAACCAAAACGAAGAAGCACCGAGAAGCAGGTGGAGATGGAAGAGAATGTGCGGACGAGCTGTGTGGAGATGTGTTCCATTTTCCATTCGCAGACCACCGAGTTGGCTGTGGAGTGGCCTGGCCTCATAAAGGTTTGAGCGGATGATCTTTACTGTCACCAGTCTGTGACCCCTCTCACACCCACCAGGCTGGATCCTCACACCTACCAGCCTGGATCCTAATGTTGACCCCCTTGCGTTTCTCAGCCCTTCTTCCACTATAGAGATCCACCTACTGTAGTAGGTGAGATCTACCTAGTAGTCTTCCACTGAGCTTTGTCTCGTGAGTTGCTGCTCCTCCTGTTCTCAGATGTTCTCACCAGAGGTTCAAGAACAGCTTGAAGCGCATCTACTACGCCACGCCCACCTCCTTCTTGGAGCTGATCCAAACTTTCAAGACCCTTCTGGGTGGCAAACGAGCCCCAGTGGCAAACTCGAAGGGTGGGAAGGATGGAAGATGGTGGAAGGGTCGAGAAGGCACATGCCACGAGACCTGTTCCGATGGTGAACGACTAATAGGTAGGGCATGGTAGGGCAATGAAGGTGATTTTTTGGGGGGATGAAGATCCATGAAATCAAGCTTTGAGGAGGAGGATCTTGACCGAGAAGAGAAGGAGATGCATTGCTCGGCCAGCAGTGCAGTGCTTGTCAGGTTTCCCCCTAAGAGGGGCTGTCACTGGGCAGTTTTTGGAGAAACCTAGCTTCGACCCAGTCAGTGGATAACCTTGAACCTTGCTTCGGGATCGGTATCCTATTGACTCTATTTGCTGATTTATTTCGACTACTGTCACTAGCGAGGGACTTGGCTGCCGTTATGCGAGGCAGCCAGCCCAGGGCGGCGTTCGCAAGGGCCAACGGTGCCAAAGGAAACAGAGCGGCCACACACGGCCACCAGCCCCACACTCCATTGATATAGATGTCTTAGAGGTGGGTTGGGTGGGTGGGTGGGTGGGTGGGGGAAGATTGAAGCAAGTGACTTCGTCACTGACATATAAGCATGCTACATGCAGCATCTCAAGTACACAAGCGACATCACATGTAGAGATTCGAAAGAGTGGCATTGCATGTGCTTTACTGCTTGCAACTATATACTTACTTGAATCCAGTGGATTCCCAGGTTGTTTCGAAGGCGATGTTTTGAGCTTTTTTCATGCTGGCATCCTGCAGTACAAGAGTCCGAAGAACACATGTAGCACATGTATTTCTCCAAGAGGACAGCCGAGCCTCACAGCCGCCTCCAGCCTTCCTTGCTGCGCCAAGGAAAGCAAGTCACAGACCTGAAGGATAAGTATGAGAAGGGCTTGGAGACTTGACCAAACAAATCCGTGCGCATGACCTGCAAGTCAATGGTTCTCAGTGGACCTAACTCAGACCTAGCATGACCAATAGGTTTTGAACTGGTCCCACTAGTTACATTACATGGTGCAAGACCGTTTTTTCCCAAAACAGCTTCCTTCCGGTGGATCCAGGAAGCTGAGGGAGGCTGGGGAGGTGGGGAGTTGGGGCAGATGCGCAGGGCGGCTCCCTTGGGATGGAAAACCACCGATTCCTCCCCCAACGACCGATCTGGATAGTCCAAAACGATTGCAAAAAGAGAGCCGAGAAAGCGGCGGGCTTCCTCCCCCACCATGGGTCCTGATGACTTCAATTGGATGTGGGATCCCGATCGAGATCTACAGTATCTCGAGAAATTGCCAGTCTTGGAGAAAATCGGCGGAGATTGGCAGTCTCCAGAGATTGGCAGATTGGAAGCCCCCACCATGGGCCCCCCCAAAGACAGCGCCGGAGCTGTCCGTGGACTCACGAGCCCACGTGTCGCTTGAGGATAAAATCCTCACCACCGAGCAGTCCGTGGAGGGAATGAAGGCAGTGCTGGTTGGATGCTGTTGATGTGACGGGGTAACGGACGCTGAAGAAACCGCAGGAAAGGAGCTGAGAAGGGTCAGGGTAAAGACTGCAGGATCATGCCTGCATGTGTTGGAAGTGTTGGCAAAAAGAGTGCATGAGCTTGTTCATGTCGAAGTGCCTGAGCAGACTGGACCCCCAAAGCAGATATATATAGAGAAGAATGTTTCCCACGAGTCCGCGCGCTCGGGGCGCATGCGCACCAGTGACCCACATGTGAATGCCTGCCAAAGACCACCTGTCCACGAGGGTCACCAGGTTGAGCAATGGGTAACACCATGCTCATGTGCTTTTTGGGCAAGCACCCCAAGTCGCATAACATCGTATAAAGTTCAGAGTATAGCAGAATACAGAGGTGGCCGGACCATAGAACTTGCTCCAGGCCGATGTTTTGATTTTTGAAGGTACACCGAGCCTGAGACCGCTGCAACAAAAGGCATGTTGTCTCAGATGTTGGACAGTTGGACATGGACGGTGGTTGTCGGACCTGGAAAGTCCACAAGTTCGGCTCCTGGACATCGTTCCATTGGAGCTCACACCCTGAAAGATCTCCTTTTCGGGTCACCCTTTCTGCTAGAACTACCCCAGTGGGGCCACCCTCCCACCTAGCAACTGGGGTCGCTGGTCGCCGGGTCACTTGGAGCGATCCACCCCCGGTCGCCCGACGCACGAATTCAGTCTTGCTCGTCGGTCACGTCACAGGTGGAACTCATCAACCTGCAGCCCAAGCTGATTGCGAAGCGCCTTGGCAGTGACACACCTTGCGTGGTGACGTGGTGTCATCGAGGTCTATATACATCTTGGCCCCAGGGGTCACAGAGCTCGGGGTGGTGTTTAGTCCCATCCAGTGAGTGGGTAATGGGCACCCCTAACCTCCATTAAGCACCCCTTTGAAACTCCTGGTCTATATTATATATACTGTATATTTTATGTACTTATACATAGAGAGAGAGAGTGAGGGCCTCCAAAGAATAGCCGCCACAGCTGCGGCGTTTCAGCTTCCAGATTCCGAACTATCACTGGTTGACTGGCTTACCATCTGAAACGCAGATTCTGGTGGAGAGATGATGGTCAAGTGGTGATGATGATGATGATGACGACGATGATGATGATGGTCAAGTGATGATGATGATGATGATGATGATGATGATGATGATGATGGTCAAGTGATGATGATGATGATGATGATGATGGTGGTGATGATGATGGTCAAGTGATGATGATGATGCTGCTGATGATGATGATGATGATGATGAGGATCACTACTCTAACCATTATAAGTAGTGTGAGTATGTTTCTTCGTTGGCCTACACGACTTTCGCAGGAATGAGGAGGTGGAGAAGATGATGGTCGTCGTCGGAGAGGAGTCCGCCAAGACGGCCAAGGCGCCATCAGAATCGTCCGGTCAGAGCGATGACAAACGGTCAGAGACATGGGTCAACTGATCCGGCTTTGGAAGCTTCCAGGTTTTTTGGACCCATAGATCATCTCAATGCATCTCATATCGAGCTTGTGTTTGGTTTCTCCTTGCATGAAGCTTGAACCTTAATCAGCCTTAATCCCAGACTAAGAGTCATTTCTGCGATGTTCAGAAGGATGATGATGAACGGGTTGGAGCTTGTGGTGCGGATCGTGCTGCGCACAGACAACTGACAAAGTCCTACCCCACACCACGAAATCATCAGAAATCCATGGAAAACTAAGGCATGACATTGTCATGTCCTTTTGACAGTGCTTCGTTGGCACAGCGAAGGACGTGTCGAACCAGTGAACTGCCGACCCACATCAGTGACCACGCTCAACGTGCGCATGCGCGAGGTTCGCGTGTTGGCTCTCAGGTGAAGGAAGCAGTGGCAGCAGATGAGGCCGTCGCTGCCGAGGCAGCTGCCAAGTCTGAGGCACAGAAGGCAGAGGTGGAAGCTGATTTGGCAGAGGCACCGGGGGGGCCCTGGAGGCCGTGAAGGTGGGGGATGAAGGTGGGGGATGATGGATGAGAGGGACTGGTGGTGTACAGACTTGGTTTGACTTGAAGATGCTAAGTCTTATGGTTTGAATAGGTTTGGGAATGTGATATGATATAAGGTTTATATAAGCATGTGTAAGGTGTGAAACACACATGAGCCCCCCAAAAGAAGCGTGAGATCTCGCTCTGGCACTGTGCTGCCATGGCATTGAAGCAGCGAGGCAGCTGGAGTCACTGTAGTCCACACTGACCAGGTTGCAAAGCCATGAGAAAAATCCCAACGTCCAGACCCGTTGGCCTGCTGGCTCATTCCATGACTCTGAATGATTCCATTCCACCCTTCCATTGGGCATGTCTTCTTCAGTGAGGAAGCCGTGCAACGCTTCGGAAGACCTGTTTTCCCACGCTTAGCCGACCCAAACGCACCACTTCGTCCCCATTCGAAGGCCTGTTTTCCCACAAAAGCACCGGCTCGTTCCGCGTTCCGTGGAGATGCCCCGCATCGTCCAACACCACCGATGCCCCGCAGGCCATGCCGGCGTTGATGGAAGCGCTGAGCGCCTTGGACACGCTGTCGGCCAAAGACATTGGAGAGATCAAGGCGATGAAGAATCCACCGGGACCCGCCCCTCGGCGAAGCAAGGCCTCCAAGAAAACCAAACACCCTATAGGCCTCCAGTCGTAACTTCTGAGAAGGTGGGACTGGGGTGGGTGCCAGGAGGGTTCAAAGAGGTACTTGGAGGTGTAGGGAAAGGAAAACAAATCGAAACACCACACCTGATCAGACACAGGTGATTTTGGGCCAGCTAACTTGGCGGATTATTATGCACTTTTTTTCAACGTGCGGATTGTGCTGATGTGTATGAGTCTGTATGAGTCTGTATTGCATGGGCCCCAGTGGAAGTGATGGCAGGAGAGTGGCAAGCTCCTGAGCATCACAAGAGGTGTAAAGGATCGTAATCAAAAGAACAGGGAGAGAATGGCCGGTGTTACATGGTTTCACGAGTTCGACATTTCCACTAGCTCATCCTTGGCTTCCAAGGGGTGACTGGATGAACAACCCTACACTGCTTCTAGGTCTCCATTGCACACCCCTTGAAAGTACCCGATATTTCCATGTTGATTACGAATGCATTGATGCTCTATGTTTCGTTTAATCAGGGGGCATGTTTGCTGCTGAACGGCCAGAAGGAGTCAGAATTGGACTCCAAATCGAAGTTCTGTTTCGAAGCTGGTGAAGCACATTCTCAGGTGAAGCTGGTCCTGCAGGCCGTGTGCATTATGAAGGGAATCAAACCCAACCGCGTGAAGGCCTGGTGTGGCGGAAGCGCCGCGCCGCGAGAGGCCGTCGTTTGAGGGCCGTGGCGTGACCTAGGTCCCAGCGCGTGACCTAGGTGTCTCGGGTCGGTAGGGCTCTGAGGGAAAGGGCTGGTTGACCCTGGGTAGGTTGGCCTGTCTATCATTGGTACATGTCGATTTGTTCGGTGGGAATCGCCTGGCTGGCGAGTGGAAACAGCGGAGCCATGGGCAGCCCTGGATGATTATGGATGCGTCTTGCGTTTCGAATTTGGTGTCCTTGGGTTGAGACGGGCAGCGAACCCCAGTGTTTCATCACGAAAAAATCCCACCACGGGCGCTGCGGCACTCGGACGACGTGGAGATCCACCGGTGAGACCGGTAGGATGAGTCCGGGAAGATGGCGGAGGACTTCTGGGGCCCCTCAGTGACTCGGTCGGGACGGCGAGTCCTGGAGGCCGCCGGAGACAGGCGGAGAAGGCTGGAAGAGGCGGAGTCGATGTAGGAACATGGCTCAAAAACCAGTCATAGACCTTTTGATTGGGAGCACCTCTATAGGCAGGCAAAGTGCAAGGTATCATATCTCTGATAGAGTACTGGACAGCAAGCTGTTGAACAAGTGATCCACAACTTGCATTGCCCATGGAATCCCAAGTAGGGCTGGGGGGCTCGGAAATAGCACCCATCGGACAATCAAACAAATTGCAATTATAGCAGTTGCTTTTTGTTGATGAACCATGGAACCACCAAACCATGAACACCACCTTGCCTTTGTGCTACCTATTTTCCCGGTTCACCACCTTTGTTTGATGAACCATGGAACCTCATGGGTTCCATCATGAACACCCTGCACCAAGAAGAGCTCAGGTGAAGATGGTTGGAGAGTCAGACTTCCTCCGCTCCTTGCAGAGCTTCGACAAGGTTGGCATTTTCCCAGACCGAAGCCAAACCGATTTGATCTCCGACTTCGGCCTCTCCAAGGGGGTTTGGCAAGAAACAGGCTATATCTACTAGTCCAGTCAGGAACTGATTTGGACTGGAGCTGGTCATACAAGTTCACACGATGAAAAAGGAGGTCAGTTTGACCAGGTATTATACTGGGCCAGATTGGACATGTAGGGAGGGTTTCTGTGTTGCAAGTTGCAGTGTTTACGTTGGTAGCTTCGTGTTTCTTTTGAAGCTGTCAGAAAGGTCAGACAGAGGATGAAGGCAGTTTGTATGGCCTTGGAACGTAGTTAAAGCCAGGACTGTCATGGCTTGTTGGGCCGTTAGACCGTTGAACATTTTGGGGGGCGCCACGCTACACAGCCGAAGTCCATCCATCCATATGGACCCATCGATCGACGCCAGAGCCTGACAGTCAGAGGTTCCAATGCCAGAAGTCGTGCTGTGATGGTCTAGGGAGTCCAGGGGTCCAGGTGTTGATTCGTTTTGGTCTTGACCTTCACTGGTGATGTGGTACACCATGTATGGGTCCTTTGTGTTTAAAGAGTCGACCTAATGGCGGCCTTTGTGTTTCAGCCCGCTATTTTGGCGATTGCAGGACAACATACCCGCGGCCACGATCAAGAAGTGTCTCACTTGGCAAGATTTGTTTGACTTGGACCTGTTTCGTATTTACATTAATTCCTCCATCACTAGCAGTCACTAGCGTGCCTTTTTCATAGCAAAGCTCAAAATCAAAAGATGAACACTACACAGTTACACATTTTTTGTACCAGTTACTTTGGGAAGTCTTTTGCTGTTGCTACTGTGAAGGTCTGAAATCCTGGGGGACTTTTGTGAGATAGACTAGAGAGAGGAAGGAGGGATTGGAAGCAACATACACCCGCACCCTGCACAGGCGAAAGGTCCTAGAATTTCACAAGGGTTGCGGGTGAATTGGAATCCATCAAGCTATTTTGGAGCTCCTTTGCCTTTACCTAGACTTCTGTACATACTGGGCAAGAATGAGCAAAGACGAGAAACACATTATAGAACCGCTTAATACCAGGGTCATCCAATGGGTGTCCAATAGACTACCCTACCCTACGTAAACAGGTCTTCAGACAGGGCACCCGGACAGGAAGTGCTAGGTGTATTGGATTTATTGGTTTGCATTGAACTTTCTTGGCACCCAACTGCTACAAAAAGCACACCCCGCAGCTTTTTTCGGTATGATTCCCTTTGTTGCCAAGCCCGGGAGACCGGCTCGGCCATCGGGTTCTCCGCTGAGGATCCAAACCTTCATGCCCTTGGACGACTTCCAACCCGCGCGCGTCGCATGGAGTGGAGATGAGAGGGCGATGGCTCAAGGAGCTTGTCGTGGCTCAAGGGGCCTTCAGGCTCCGAAGCCTGCCGTTTTCATGGCACCGAAGATAGAATATCAGACGTAACGTAAGAATACCAGCACCTTCATGTCGGGGCCCACCACTATATAAGGGACCTCCGAATTCAGGTCCACCCCTTGAATTCAGGTCCATTGGTGTTGGACCAGTAGAGCTCGGCAGGCATCGGGCAGATCGACCATGAGGACACTTTTGTGGATGCGGCCCCCCATGGTGAGGGGGTTCAGGACAGAAGATCCCCTCCGGCATTACGGACCAAAGTGAATCACCTGCCCAGGGCATCCTACAATGATAGCTCCTTAAGGCTTAAGGGATGTGTTCTGAACCACCCCCTTTGTTTGGGCGGTGCAGGTTGCCTCTTTGATCCTTTTTGGTGGATTTTGGGGACTAAACCAGAACCGGTGGACAGTTGGGTGGCACACCGTGATTTGGTCTGAAAACTGAGGAGGGTTCTAGAGCCGTGGTCCATTCATCTGCAAGTCTCAAGATCGAAGTGGACAAACTCCACGATCGCCCGTTTTTTGTTGGTCTTTGATCTTCCCCACTGCCCACGGCACAACCCCACAAAAGCAGAGCTTAACGGCTTAGCTCAACCCGATCTGCCCAGCTGGCGGGTCGTGTGCCCCTCGCGCGAGCCACCTCGGCGCTGGCGCTGGGGGTGGTTCGGTGTCAGCGACCACGACGACGACGAAGCGACAACTCAGGTGAAGACGTGCAGCAGGGCGGCCTGGGGCATTTGCATGTGGGTGCGTGCCATGGAGACCTATGACCGAGTGGCCAAGGTCGTCGGCCTCTCGGAGCAAAAGACGACCGGGGCGAATTCGACGACGACGGGTCGGCGAGGCGGCGACGGAACGGGTGGTTGGGCCGGTTGGGCGTTGGAGTCTGGAGGAAAAAGAGAGAAAAGGAATGGCAGACGGAGAAAAAAACGCGATGATCAGACAATGTAGCTAGTCCCATGAAGTGCTGGGGTATGGATATGTCATGGATCATGGATCCATGTGTGATTTCTTCTTGTATGGTGTTTCAATGTGTTTCACGTCTGTAGATCTGAGCTGGTCAGGGGTCAAGAGTCAAGAGTTTGATGCTAGCATGTTCTAGAGTTAACCCTTGATCAGCATTGGGTCCGGACAGTTCTTCTTGCAGTGTTTGCTTTCTTGCAATGTACAGGATTATACCAGGACACCCAGTCGGGATGGTTTTCATGGACACCCCGAATCACGGCTGTTTGGGGCTATGAATAGACACCCCGACAGGAGGGTCCTGGTATATTGTATTAGCTTGCATGTTGCCAAAACAGTATACAGTATACGTGATGACCCTAAACAGCATCCTTGACATCATCAAACATGTGCTATGCTATGGTTGTTGTTCCCAAGAGGGTGATGTCATGCTTTGTGGTAGTTCCACACTAGTTACAAGCCGCCAAGCCGCAACATTTGCGGATTTGCCCCACATGGCTCATGTTTGAGTATTACTTTTCGGCCTCGACAACCCGAACACGACCGCCTAAGGACCCAAGAAGGAGGCCCTAGCCATTGCCATGGCCGAGTATGCGGAGGACGGGGGGGCACCTGCTAGGTCACTAGGTTGGATCGATGAACAATTCCATAAAATTCATCTAACTAATCTACCGGAATAATCCGGAAAATTGTTTCTAAATCCAAATCTTCACTACTCCATTCTTCAGCAAATCTTGGCAACTTTCATTTTGATCACTATTGTGAAACCAACAGTAAGCCGCGATAAAGTGTCCAACACCCGCATTTCGCCCATGCACCATCTGTCATTATTAGTCATCATTCCATATGCGGGCACTATTTGCATGCATCCCTGAGATTGACCTATTGTTGGTCTGACCAAGCCTCACTAGTTAGGGATCCAAGTACCTTCTCGGGTACGGTGATTGGAGACACTGTTATATAGGTTTGGAGGGTCCCACGCGCTGTCCTCGGCCCGCAGGTCATGGAGAAGCTCAATGAGAAGCGCGCGGAGCTCCAGAAGGCGAGCGAGCTGGGCTGGGCGTAGCGTCCGTGGTTGTTGCTGATAGTGATGCCCTTTGTTCCGTTCGTAGCTTCTTGTTCTTAGTACTGCCAGGAACCCCTCGTAGCGTCCGAACGCTCCCAGCAGCAAGGCCAGGAGCCCCTAATGGCTTCTTGTTACTAGTAGTGTGGAAATCCTGTGTCTCTTTGAGTGCCGTTGAGCCAAAAATAGTCCAAGTTTGTTGTTCTTCCTTGGCGAGGAAAAATGATCAGGCGATTTGCAAATGGAGGGTGTATTTACTTTGGAATTGTTAATTGTTTTTTAATATGTCATGTTTTTGTTATTTAGCTTTTGGCGTTTGCTGGCTTGTGGCTTTTGGCGGCTTTGGTGGCTCTTGGCTTTTGATACCGGGTTCTTCCCAAAAAACAGCCATCGCCAGAGTCGTTCCACGTCACCGTCTCAACCCCTTGCACCCCAACTTCAATGTTGTCGGGTCAGGTTCGGTACCAGCGGCCTTCAGAAAAAACAGCCATTCAGGTCGGTACATGTCAGGAGACCAATCAGCAACATTGAGCTGGGGGGATGCGGGGGATTCAAGAATTCTTTTCATCCCTGACTTGATGGCTGTTTTTTTGAAGAACCCGGTAGCTTCAAGACAATCACAGGATTTACCAAGTTTTTCTCAGGTGTCTTCAGAAAACTAAAGAATATTCACGTGTTTTTTCTTTTTGGACGTGTGCGTTCTGAAGAAAACTTGTTGTATTTCTTTTTGGTTATGGCTTTTGCACTCTTTGTTTTTGAGCACCGTGCTGCTGCAGGTGGCTACACTCTTTTCCTTTTTCCTTTTTCTATTCCTTTTCCTTGTCCTTTTCCTGTCCCTTGTCCTTTTCCCTTTCGTTTTCCTTTTGGCAGCAGCCAACAGCAAGCACACAACAAATTCCAGTGCATAATAAGATCCGAACCCATTTGCTAATTCACTAGTTCCAGTGCATTCTTTTTGTTTCGGTGGCCTTTGTGGGCCCTTAGGACCTATAAGGATGTTGTTGGTTGCCTTGCAAAGACTGCCTTTATCTCGAACTCTTTGAATGTTGGTCAAGATTTGCAAGATCTGCTCATGTTTACCATCACTTCCACCCACAAGATTCACTAAGCAGAATCCGAGCCAGAACTAGCAGCTAGCAGGACCTACAAGCTGCCGGTCCATCACTGTTCTCACCGCATATGTTCTGTGTTTTCCTTTGCCTAGATCGTGTTTTCCTTTGTTCCCCACCTGCCAGGTGAGGGTTGTTAGATTTTATCACAGTTGTTCTTCCTCCTCCTCCTCCTCCGCCTCGTCCTCCTCCTTTGTTCTATGTTGTTCCTTGGAAGACCCTGCAGCGAAGGTGTTGGACCAACTGGCCGAGCTGGAAGCACAGTTGAATAGCCTCAAAGCTGAGAAGGCGACCTTCGTCACGAGCGATCGGTTGGTTCCTCCGGAGTTGGGGGGCCGGGTTCACGAGCGACGGGGCAAACCCGGAGAACAGACCATGAGGTTTGTGGGTACCAGCCAAGCCACCGCGATTTGGGGATACATGCATGTACGTGTGGTGATTCTGGAATATTCTGGATCCTAAACTGCTCAAAGTGATTGTTTTGGAGTCTATGACCATTTTACCATTTTCTTGCATGGTTGCAGTCTTTGTCCTAATTCGATCAAGAAGGTGTTTCTTACTACAGACGCTCGACACGAGAGAGCCGACCTGCCATCGATGCACACGAGAGAACCGACGAGTTCGACGTCGAACTCGGCCTGTGGCAGGACGACCTGGCGTATCAAGTCGACCTTTGCAAGACGCTTGAGACCAGCGAAGACCAGACTGAGCGACGGTGTGGTCCGCGGTAGAGCCGCGGAGCTTGCGAGCGGTTTATGAACGAAGACTTCTGCACGGCAGCATGGACAATGCACGTGTTTAGCATGGACAATGCACGTGTTTAGTGGATATTCTGCTCAACTTTGTATATAGTATTATTAGATAGTTGAGACGTGTTAAGACATATTAAGGCATGTTCAATCATGTATAGGTATAGAGATTCCGGATGATTCCGGAGTCCGTGCCCTTTCCCTTCTTTCTGTTCACAGAGCAGGGATGTTTTTGTTGTCCATTGAGTCGTTGTCATCGTTTTGGCACGCCGTTGTTTCTGATGCTATCGTTGGTGTGGGGGCATCCTTTCGGGGAGCCAGTTTGAATGAAGAGGGTTTTCCATTGAATGAAGAGGGGTTTGAATGAAGAGGGGTTGAATCCATTCCAATTTTTTGGGATTGCCCCCAGAGCAGCAGCCGGTATAGAAGAGACGCAGATCACTGCTTGGGAGTGCTCAACTGCCCACTTGAGGCGCATAGTTTGATGATTTGTTTGTCATCAATGCCCATGTGACGCGGTTCCTAGACCAGTTTACTACGAGTTCCTTTTTTCCTACAAGCAATGCTATATCAGGAGATATATCGATGACCCAGTGATGTTTCTCGACAGGGTGCTCTTCTTTACCAGCGTTCTTCCGACGATTGAGGAAGAAGTTGGACCGCGCAGAGACCCTGATCGAATCCCTGGGTGGCGAGAAGTCTCGTTGGACACAGAACGCCAAGGCAACCTTGAGTCGTTAAACAGATTTCAACGATTGGAATTATGTAGGGGTTAAATTGTTGGAGGTGATAATGCCCAGACACTCCATGTATGCCATATATACCTACATTGGGGTGGTTTTGGGGGGTCAATGTGGGCATATATGGCATACATGGAGTGTTTGAAATATACTATATGTTATAATCAAATAACGTTGAAATCCGCTATGAGTCAACAGTTTGGACCTTGAAATAATTCAGCCACTTCCCATGCGCCTTATTGTTCTTCAGCAGCGGTGGTGACTCGGTGGTTGGTTGAGACGGTTAAGCGGAGACACTCACAGAGCTTGCAGCTTAGATATAGGTGTTGGATTGAAAACAAATTCCAACGCATGCTTGAAGGGATTTCTCGGGTATGCAATTCTTGGGAAGACGTGTTTGAGAGTCACCCATTTGTTCCGCGACCTCAGTAAGCCCTAGTGTGCGACAGTGATACCCATACACTCCATGTATGCCGTATGTGCCTACATTGACCCCCAAACCACCCCAACTGATCGGCATATGTTCCATACATGGAGCGTTTGGGATATATTACATGTGTCCATTTCGACTTGGTTCTCGGTTCGTTTTGCAATCTTCACATCGAACAAAAGAGCTCTACACGAACAAAACACAGCAGCACCACCCATGTCACCGTGGTCAGGCGGGTGTATCCCGGCCTCATGAATGGCTGACCCTCCAATCATGTGGACCGTTGTTGATTGATAAGACTATTTGTTGAATTGATCCCATTGAGCTCGCAGGAGGTGCGCATTTTGAGTTTCCATTTTGCTGTCGCTTGCAGCCACTTGCAAGTGGCTGCCCAAGCAAGTGGCTGCAAGTGGCTGCCAACTGGCTGCAAGTGACTGCTACTTCTGTCCGGAGAATATCATAATTTCTCCGCACGCAGCTCTGGAGAAAACCACGATTTCTGCAATGCTGTTCTGCGAAGAAATTCCGGTTTTCTCCAGAGCTGCGCGCGGATAAATCATGAAAGAATCCAAGACTTGTCCGAGCTAGCGACGAAGAAATCTTGCAGCTTTTACATAAAGAAATCAAAGTGCACGTGTTGAATTTTACTTGCTTGAGTGACAAGTGGCTGCCAAGTGGCTGCCTGAGCAAGTGGCTGCAAGTGACTGTCAAACAAAAATTCAATATGTACGTCATTTGCTAGCTCTCTGATTTATCAACATGTCTATATATTATATATGTATATATGGGTGTGTAGATGTGTGTAGTAAGATGCGAAAAGCTCCCAGTTTAAAACAAGCATACAAGGTTTGGGAAATGAGGATCTCCTTAGTAGAATTCACAGTGTGGCACACCTGATGGACATCCCACTGCTCACATGTGAAAGCCTCTCAAGATGTCTAAACCATGACCTCCAAGCCTGGTGTTTTTGGGGGCGCCCCTCAACCTCCTAAGAGGCTATTTACAAACACCTCTACTTGGAAGGTAACAACTATAACTCGTCAACTTCACTTCAGCATTCCGAAACCACGCGCCGCTCCGCGATGGGCCGACTCCGAAATCATCCGACCGTGGCCGTGGTCGGACCGACCGTGGACCACTTCGATCGCACCGCGAGAGAGCACTGGGCAGGACCTGGCAGTGGACTATGTGAACTTGACAGGCGCGGCAAAAGGTGGAACGAGAAATTGAACATGTGGGGACCAGGTTGGTGAACAGTTCAATGTAATCATATCATAGAAGCCTTGGTTTTTGGACTTTTGGATGATCCAACAAACCAAATTTATATTGTGTTATGTTTTTAAGGATCAGTCGACAGTATGGAATCGAAACCAATAGACCCCGCAGAAAGCTGTCATACTCTCCATCAGGGTTGCACGAGCACGCTTGGGACCCGAAGACGCAACGTGTCCACTCCACTGTCAACAACACCAAAGTATAGGCAATCCATACCCAATGTATAAGTAAAAAAACTATTTGACCTTTGTTTTGACACGAAAAGACCTATAGTATGGACACAGAGTCTTTGCAAAATGTCAGGCGCCACTAAGTTCGTTCCGCTGCGCCAACTGGACGCCTTGACGCGCCCTCCTGACCTATCCTGACCTTGCCACCTCCGACCTTGACCTCCTGACCTCAGTTGCCACGGTGATGACACAGGTGATGTCATCGTTTGCAGCGGTTTGATCGCCTATTTGGGCGCCTTCACACCGGACTTCCGGGAACGAACAGCGACTGTGGCGCAGGATATGTGCGGGCGGGCGTTCTACACGGGGGATTCCACACGGACAGAGGAGGGAGGACGGGGCGGAGTGAGGCGGGCTGCCCCAGGCGCCAGTGTGGCGAGAACAAGACTGGGTGCATGTGGAGAGAGCACATTGGAAGGAAGAGATTTTGGGGGAGAACTCCAGATCGTCAAATTGATGAGGTCGTTTTTGATCAATGATTCGTCCACAAAGGGCTTTGGCAGGGATTTTAATTTTGCTCGGGGTGTATGTTGAGACGCACCCGATGCGGTGGCTCGATCTGGGTGGTCCTTTGAGGTACCTTAAATGCCATTAAATACCCAGACACTCCATGTCGTGGAATAGTGTATGGAATGTATATGCATGTATATTGAGCCCAGGTCAACCACCCTAATGTAAACATGCCATACATGGAGTGTTTGGGATAGGGGTTGAGAAAGGCTCCTGACCTCTGCCTTGTCCCTCACTATTTTTGTTCGAGCCTTGGATCCTTTGTGCAGTGTAGGTGAAGGTTGTTTTTTTTGTTTTGTGCCACGTGGTAGCCAATTGGTAAAGACTTCTCTGCCAGGACCATCCGTTTGAGGTGCCTAATTCAATCGCCCCTTAGAGGTGAGTCGGGGGTGTCCAAAAACCACCGGACTTGGTTTCGGTCCTGAGGGTTTGCTTGGCTCTCCGTCTTAAAAACCCAACAGACCGATCCATCCCAATCCCCCATCATCCCCCCTAGCCTTCAAAGGCCATTAAGAGAATGGTTGACCTGGCGGTGTACTGCAAAATATTGTAAAACCCTTAGTAAAACAATGGCTCTTTGGCAAAGACCCATTGACACACTGGTTGTTCGAATCCATTTGGGTCTCCGCGTCGTGGTCCTTATCCAGCTCGTGTCGTGGTGATGGTGTGAGGTGAAAGCTTGGACGGAGCTGTCCTTGGAGAAGTGCATCCCTGGAAAGGAGAAGGTGAGTTTGGAGGCCAGGCATTTGGCCAGATATGATTGATGCCGATTTGGACTTCGGAGTTCGGCATGAGGGGGCTGGGGGTTTTGGGTGTTGGAGGGTTGAAGAGGGGATTTGGCTGGGGGCAACCAGACATTGCACATCGCCACGCCGCGGATTTTTGGAGGGCTTGTGCTGGTGTGTGTGTGTGTGTATATATATATGGGCGAGGGCCGTTGGCAGTTCGGGTGGTTGCTGGTCGCTGGGTATCGTTCTTTCCTGCTTGTTGCAACGGGGTATCGTTCTGCCAGAGGTCACTTCGGCTACTGGAAATACATGGAAGTTCCATTGCATACACCCTAGGGCTCCTGGCCCACCTCCTGAGAAGATGGTTGGGGTGGATGCCAAGGGGGTCAAATACCACCAAACCTGAGGATATGGGACAGGAGCCCTAGCGTACATATACTTGCCGCAATCTTTGCAGCAAAACGATGCAATGGCGGGAAAGGTATAGTACTTATATAAACGAGCTTTCGCGGAACAATCTGAACTTTGTAATTGGGTAACTAATAACATGAATACGGCAATTGGTCGGCTTACATGATGTATATATAGGTTATAGTTATAGTCAGTTGTAGTTATAGTTGCTAGATGCTCGCTCGCTCGCTGCTTTCGCCGCTCCGCCTTCGTCTTCGCGCCAGGACTGCTTGGGTGAACCAGTGAAGATCCGCAACTGGACGATTTGCGGCTTGCCCAACGACGCCTTCTCCATCGAGTGGCTCGAAGACTCGCAGGGAACGACGGTTTCGACGGCCGCGTCGCCGGCGTTGCTTCCGAGGAGTAGGGCTGAGTGACACGGCATAGGGCTGTGAGTTTTGAGTGGATTGGTCACGGCAACGTTGGAGCCGTTGGACGGAGGCCGCAAAGTCGCCAAAGGCCTTGAAGTCACTGGGAGAGCTTTTGTCTCATCAACCAGCTTTGCCCGGGCGGATCTTCATGTAGTTTATGTTCTTTGTTTTTGCGGAGTTCACACTTTATAGAATCATTTTGCCTAGTGTCCTGAACCGGGCTGTGGCATGGACTGTCCGCAAGTCGCACAAGTCGAATCATTTTGGGACAGTCGTTTCAGGATTTAGCCATTGGTTGGGCGTTTCATGTTGAGTGGTCAAACATCACTAGACTCAGCCGCCGCCCCTGCTCTTCACGTCGTTGAGCCGTGAGATGATTCGAGGTGACGAGTTGGGTGACGAGGTGATGATTCTGTCACAAAGCCATCCCTTAAGCCAAACGAAAGCCCAGACACTCTATAGGGACTGGCCATGCCTACATTGACCCCAGGTCAGCCACCCCAATGTATGTAAGTTTGCCATACATGGAGTGTTTTGGATATGTAGAGCTGAATTTACTGTAAGTCCTTATAAAGCTCAACAAGCCTTGGCGTAGTCTTATGCTGTGTCTTTTGGATGGCGCCAAGTGCCACCCGGGTCAAGCTGTTTGTGACAAGTGAACTGATATGAGCTGATCAAATGACTGTGATTTCTGATTCATTTGACCTCACCTGGGTCCCTGTGAGGTGCAGGTGGATTGGTCATGCGGATTCGGTTTCACGCTCCACACTGGGGGCCATCGCTAGTAGGTTGGAGGAGTGGTTGGAGGCCATCGCTAGTAGGTTGGAGGATATGGCTAGTAAAGTAGGTTGGAGGCCATCGCTATTAGTAACTTAAAAGAAGTGTTTTGTTTGATTAACTTAATGAGTTTGGAGCCCATCGCTATATTACTATGTTTCGGTTTGCAGAGATTCCTCGACATCGACCGAGGAATGGCATTATCGTGGACAAGAGCCGCCGTTGGCCGCTTTGTATCGATCCTCAGGGTCAGGCGCGGCGTTGTTTTCAATATTTTTATTGCATGCAGTAGATTTGAATGTGAAAAGCTTTTTGTGATCCCACAATTGGATGGAACAGGTAAATGCATGGAAGTTCCCCAAATACCTGAACATGTTTTGTGTCAATGGCTCGATCAGTTATGTCTCCTGTTGATTCTTTTTGGTGGGGCCATTTGTAGCCAGTTGTGGTGGAGCTTATGTTATACGTGTGTTGAGGGGAGATCGCTTGTCATGCAGCCAGCAGCTGAGGATCTAGGGGCAGCAGGTTTGATGATACTGCCTTGGGGGTCAAAATCATATAAGCAGAAACACGATAGACACTTTACTGTACACTACTTGGTTGACTTGCCCTTGCTTACAGTTGGACTTCATTCCTACCTGGAGTATTTGCATATTTTGAGTCGTGTTCTTTGCTGTATTGGACGATTTGGGATCCAGTACCACCCATCTACTGGCGACAATGCATGGGCTTTCTTACTCATTCCAAGAAACACCACCAGGTCCTCCCCACCAGGTCGCCGCCAGGTCGCTGCCCCGCTGATGCAAAGAACCGCCACGTGTCGGCCAACTTGAGACTTCACCACTCAGTCGACCCAGCCCGACCCAGTCCACTATAGTCCACTGTCAACGACCGGCCACGTGTCGCTGGGCCGGAACCGCCCGGGGTAGGTCTACCCGTCTCCGGGGACACGCTCGCTCCTCAAGTCCTCAGGGTGGAGGTCTCACCGTGGTAACCGTTCGGTATGCTGCCGTGACCGGCGAGGCGAACAAATGGATCAAGAAGATGGAAGAGCCCGCCAAGTTGGTGCCTGGCTTCACATGCGCAAGAACATCGAAGATATGATGCTGTGTGTGTTTTTTTTGTTTAATTCGTTTTTTTGGTTGTTGTTATTATTGCATTTTTGATTCTTTACCTCACTTTATTCAAGTTTGCGGAGCGGAATCTTCAAAGATGCATGCACATTGCAAAACCATTGCCAATATTGGGCCAGGCCATGTCCGTTTACTTCGCACGAATTTGGTAGCTCAAAATTGATTTCAATACTCTCATCTGTTCTCGAACATGGTATCGCAGATATCACTGTCTCAATCCTCAAGCTTGAACCTTCACCTCTAGTGCTGGGAAACGTGTAGACGCACCAGCGAGGCACGGGGCTCGACCGTGAAGCACCTCGCCTCGGCCGAACGCTGCTCGTGCGGCCGAGGCCGTGAAGAAGTTCACCGACAGCGACTACATCCGTCGACTGGAGGCGGGGGGGTTCTGGGACCGAAGGGAGGGCCGGGGGGCGATGATGAGCAGGACTGGATGAGCAGGACTGGTGGCAAAGCACTAGGGCTCGGTGGTTTTCAGAGTTCTTTTCTATCCAGCTATGTGACTTGGTTTGTCAATCTTACCGAAGGTGAGGTAGTTGTGGTGGTAGGACCAAGGATCAACGGCAGTTCCAGGTTTGGGTGTTTTGGGGTTTGCCGCATCCGCTGAGATGCTAAACCCATGAGCCATGAGGACCTACTGGTGGAACGTTGGGCGGAGAACGATGGGCGACCCAGGGAGGAAAGCTGATGGACTCTACCATTTCCGGCAGAGGCTAGTTGTGAAACGAAAGTGGTTCGAGCCCAAGGGGAGATGCTGATCAAGCCGGAGGTTTCTTCACGAGTTCAGCTCGAGAGGGACCTTCCGCATTCTGTCCAGTGGCCCGCCAGTTGCGGACACTTCAAAGGTGTTGCAGGGTATGCCACCACAGGGCAGTCAACTGGGTGGGCAAGGTGGACCAATGGAAAGTTGCTTTACTTTCGGTGTTCTCCCAGATGTGTAGATATTATTCTGGATGATATGTTTGGATATGTTGCATTTTGTTCCTGCACTCAGAATTGTTGAATGGGGCTCCTTTTGAGCATTCCTTTACAACCAAACGTTTTGCTTTTGAAGAACATATCTCCTTTTCCCCATGATTTCACCACCAACAGCCCCAATTGCTCAGTAAACATTGGTGATTCTGTGGGCTGTGTTATGTAGCTCTTAGAGTGTCGTGTTTTCAATCCTGGGCAGCGGACAGGGCGCATGTTGGATCCCTTGTGTGTGCACCCGAACCCGAAAAGGACCACCAATGGGGTTTCTCAGGGTTTGGACAGACATGTTTGGACATACTTCTCCAAAGGAACTGTCAGCTTGATGACCAGTGATTACCATACCCGGTGCATCCCAGTTACTATATAAGGAACCAGGGATTCTAGGTCTATGGTGATAGTCCTTTGGAACTACTGGGACTCCCAGCTATAGTGGTATAACTGGATGCCCTGAGATATATAGTTTGATGACCAGTGCTTACTATATATATATATATTAAAATATCAGGACAAATCAAGAACTGGTTGTTCCCCACACATTCGCCCCCGCCCAGGGGTGCATTACCTATGGCAATCCCATGTTGATCGAGAACATCTTGGAGGCACCGGTCACCACGAAGCCCGGTCACCGCGCAGTTCCTGCCGCACCCGACGCATCACCGGTGCCTTCACGCACCACAGCCGTCGAGAGGCCTGAGAGGTACACCCGCCCTTGGCAAGGTTGCATGACAGTCAAAGCTCAGAGGTTCAAGTCAAGAGGAACTTGCACACACCAAAACAAGCTTATTGATGTGTGACCATGTGTCTCCTGGGATGATTTGGATCATTTATCATGCGACCAAAAGACAACTGCTGATATATATATATATATGTATATATATATATACATACAGAGTGAGAGAGAGGAACAAATCACAAGGAGCTCTTTCAATCGCAACAAACCAGCACCACTATCACGTGATAGGTTGATAATATGGTTGTTGTATATTGCTATCATGTGACAACCTTCCTTTTCGCCAGTGACCGATTCTCCCAGCCTTTCACCGCCTTCACTCGGTAGCTCTCCTCGCTGTCAGGAGACCGATCCAGCCATAGAGCCAGTGCTCCTGAAGCAGACCTACCGGCAAGGATGGGGGCGCCAGCCGTGGCACGAAGACGCGTACGGGATGTATGGATGGGACCCATCGGATGAATACGTTAATGATGATTTAGTAAGTAAATATACCTGGTTCTTCAAAGTGACCGTACTTGATAACCTGGTTTGAGGTCACTTGAGCCTCCATGTTGGGTCACTTAGGAACCTTCCAGAGGTCACTTTGAAGAAGCTGGTATATATATATATACATACATGGATGATCATGGATGTATGTTCTTTTTTGTGTGTACCTTCCACAGGTTGATGGAAGATTCAGAGTTTGAGAGTGGTGAAGTGACGTCAGATGTGTTCATGTTCAACCTTTTACAGTGATCCCACTGACTCGTATTGTTTAAGTGAGTTGAAACCGCCAACCAGATCGTGATTTACCGTGAGTGCACATGGGGATCCATACGACCGGAAAATCAAAATAGTTTTGGAGTTGTCGAGGTCTTGTGTTTTGCCAAGGGCTTGGGCTAATAAGGCCACAAATGTAGGCTCATGCAATCTGATACATACAAATGCCCCATGCCCGCAACATGCAAGACAAAATAAAACAATGTATATATAGTTGTTGACCATTGCTTGTGAAAGTGGTAAAGAAGATGGTGAGATGGTTGCTAGCAGAGTGACTCTTCTTGAACCGGTTGATCTCCAGAATCCTCGGTCCGCGAGGAAACGCGGACCGCGAGTCCGCCAGTCCAAACATGTCTTGAAGTCCTCAAACACACGTTTGTTTCACCAAGAGCATCCTCCCTCACACCGATGGCATGCAGCCCACCGATGGTGTGATGTTGCCTTGTTTGCCGATGGTGTGATGTTTGCCCGATAGCAGGAAATCGGGTGATGTTGAAGCTGGGGGAGTCGGTCTTGGAGTACAACAAGGCGGGACGGGTTGGTCGACCCTCGCGGAAGTACTTCCCTCAAAAAGGCACTTTTTGGCGAGGAACATGGAGAAAGGCGACGTGGCATGGCAGCGCGTCCCGAAGGGAAGACTACTTGACTACTGCGAACCAGGGGTGCCATCCACGTAACCATGTGAAGTGTTCGGAGTGTACTGGATCCAGCATTCAGGGGCTGCCAGCACGTTTTGGGCTCGGGCGTTCGCAGGCACGTTTTCGCGGTAAAACCGCTTATTCTTGGACCAGATCCTTCTTCACCTAAGTGGGGCCGCGGCTGAAAGGATGCTGAAAGGTGCATTGACCCCTATTCCATGGCGCTTGCTGTATTTCCTCACACCGGCCGGCGTGAGGACTTCAAGTTCTACTTGACCACAAAGCTGCGGAACCCGCACTACCTGCCGGAGATCGCGGTCAAGGTGTGAAGTGGTCAGTGGTGTGCCGGAGAGAAGACGAATGATCAAAGATCATGAAAGACCTATTTGTGATAGTGCACCACAAAAGGAAGAGCTACAAGTCAAGTCCACTCACATATATAGTTCTTCAGATTTCACATGAGTTCACCATATTTCACTGCTTTGAACCATCGCTTGCTTTAGGAAAAAACACGCACACGCACCAAAACGCGGAAGCGTAAGCCCACGTGAAGTCCAGCGAAGCAAGGGTCGACGCTTCCTTCAACCCAAAGCCGCGTGGAGGCTGAAGATCAGATCTTGAGCGTCCCATCCCCGATGCTCGAGGTGACCTTGCTGAACTTCATGATCACCGTGGTGGGCCTTCAAGACCAGTTGTTGAACATCGTGGTACAAGCTGAACGCCCGGAGCTCGCCGAGGACAAGGCAGAGCGGAGACGGAGCGGAGACGGTGGCGTGAAGTGAAAGGCGAACCTGGGTGTGGTCTTGGGACTGTAACAGGGCAACCCTACAGGTAAGTGGTTTTTGGGAATGCAGGGAGCTAAGTGGTAAGTAAATCACCTGTCCTCAACAAGGGGTTGTGAGTTGTGGCCTTGAAAAGAGTGATCAAAGGACCAAACTTCGATTCGAGGTTGGGTTACCACCTTGAATAATGTTGCTATAAAATGCGAAAAGCTAGACATTAATTTTGCCTCCCAAGCATTCCCATCTCCAAGAACCTGACTTTGCCCTCAACCTTGCAAGCAAACATGAGCCCAAGCTGCTGGCACCCAAATCAGGCACGGCTGGTCATCGAGGGTGCGGAAAACAAGGCTCAGCTTGAAGAGACCGAGCTTCTTGGACCTCTTGAGAGCAAGAAAAAGGCGGAAGGTTTACTCCAGGACAAAACCTGGGCCTAACATCAAAAGGAAGTGATGTTTTTTTAAAGGAAGTTTTAGCCCATACCGCCCCCAAAAACAGAGGACTGGTTGAAGTGCTGACACAGACACTCGCATATAGTTTCCTTTAACAGTTTTTGGTGACTTCATGGGTTTTCTCGTGTTTGTTCTCATCCCTTTCCATTGGGGGCTGCAGGCCAATGTCTTCAAAAGCTATGGGAAAGCTCACCCAGCACTCGGGGTGCTATCACCCCAGCCGTGATACCGGCAAGTTCTAGCTGGGTTCGGGTCAAAAGCCTGCTGTTCCTGTTCTGATGATCTTGGCTTTGCCACAACACCCTGGACTGCACTTTGCGCGATGTTTTCGAGGAACAAGATCCTGCATGTGTTGCAGACTTCGCAAGGCAACATCCTAGAGGAGCGGTGCTGTTTTCAGGAAGACATTTCAAGCATTTTCCCCAAGTTTGGACCTGGCCCTGTTGAAGTTTTCACTCCAGGTTCCACAAGCTTCCAGAATGACTGTGGACGGTTGTGGATAAAGTGCAGGGAACATTGGGAACATTGAGTACTTTCACATGCGCCCCCACCAAAAAAATAGAACTGCCAGATCCAGATCATCTCATAATATCTCATCTCCAATCAAGAGTCTGGAAGATGTGGCCCAAAAATGACCCAATCTTCATCCTCCCAAATCTTCTTTGAGGAGCAAATTGGCCCCAGAGTGGGTCTACTGCAATTCGCAGGACGAGACGGCCATCAACGTGCTGAGCTCCAGCAAAGCGCTCTCCAACAAGATCGCAGCCAAGCAGGCGCGCATTTGGCGATGTGCTTCAGGATGGTTTCTAAAGGATGTGGGTGTGGACTTCAAGGTTGTTGTCAAGACAATATATTATCAATATATATAATACATGTGCTACAGTTCCTTATCAGATTATCCTCTCCTTTGTTTGTAATATTTGCTTGCTGAGGAACACGCGGTTAACCATTGAACACCAATAGGTTTCCTGTAGGTTTTACCTCAAAAATCTTTATACAGACCCCCCGAAAAAGATAGAACAGCAAATCCCCGCTAAACATGATATCGGACACCATGCCACTATCTATTTGGGGACCTCTACAAATAAAACAAACAAACAAACAACAAACAAACAAACAAACAAACAACAAAGAAACACAGAAACAAACAAACCAACAAATCATGTCCAGTTTTCACTTGCCTAGGTTCCTATAGGTTATTGAACACGCGATGCGATGTTTAAAACATTCTTCAGCCAAACAATTCAGGAAATTGCTGAGCAGACGGAGAAGCAGATCGATGAGGCGCGCTTGGGCCTCTTGGCGCACCAAGCGTCGGGCGCGTCACCTCCCGGACCGTTTGGTTGGCGCGGAAGGCCGGAGCGGTTTGAGCGCGTCTGGGGTGTTTGGGGGTGGGGGAAAAGAGGTGGGGAGGGATGGATAGAGGTGGGTGGGAGGCGTTTTGGGTGGTTTTGGATGGATCTAGGGATGTGGAGGTGTCCAAGGCTTGTGGATTTTAGAGGGGGCAGAGCTCCAAATGGGGTCGAACATGGCAGAAAGACAGCTGGGCAGGCGAAAGTGTTGCGAGAGTTGCTTGGACGAGGGTCAAAAGTGTTTGGACTGGAAGGAGTTTTATAATGGTCATGCATGGGCCTTGAATAGTTGAACAAGTAGTTCTTGCAAGACATCAACAGCCAGGGCCTAGCAGTTCTGTGGGTATGTGGATTGTGTGGAGGTTGAGCGTGTACAAAAAACAGGCCGTAGAACAAATTCCGACTACTCACCCTCCACGGGTATCTGAGGCTACGTGCCGGTGGCCTTCAAGACGGCGATCCTGTTCTTTTGCATCTCTGACTTGGCCCCTGATCTTCCATCCGCGCTCGATGGAGCGGAGAGCGGACGGGAAGGGATGGAGGGAGGAAGAGCAGAGCTCGAAGCCCCAATTTGGGCCCCAGAGGGTTGATTGTTGTGATGTTAAATTGTTCAAGTCGAGTGGAGAAAGAGTTTGGGAATGTGTTGCTTTCTAATTATTCATGCAGTTTGCTCAGTGAAAGGCTCATTGAGCTGCAGTTGAACGCCATATACTAGGAGAAACAATGACCCGTTTGAAACAAGATCTTGCACGCGCACAGGGGTCAGGATCCAATCATGACAGCTTTCCATTCATGTACTCGTCCAAACCACATTGGCGGGTGCCTTAAGCCTTACGCTACCTGCCTAGCTTGGTAGGTGTTTGGAGAAAGCCCCAATGATCAATCATCATCCGGGTGGTGGACACCCGGTTCAAGATCCACTTCACACTCTGAACGCCCATTCAACATTCTTCGACCATGCTTGACTTCTACAATCGGCTGTGGATTCTTTCGGGACAAACAGGCTTGGTTTATCTTAGGGTTATTTTTGTCCAATATATGCGTTCAATCATGTTCAATCCCCAAACCTGGTGAGTCCTTTGTATGTTGTCCCCTCGCTTCCTGGACTGCCCAAATCCAAGTCATATTCACTCACCATCCCATAACGATTCCCGGATTCCTGGACTATGGGAAAACCTCGGAACCCCTATTTTTCTGTTTTGTTCAATGTTTTTCTGGATTTTTTTCACATTTTTTCCCCTACTGCTTTTGCTTTTGCTTTTTGCTTCTGCTTTTGCTTTTGCCCTTTGCTTCTGCTTCTACTTTTGCTTCTGCATCTGCTTTTGCATCTGCTTCTGCTTTTGCTTTTTGCTTCTGCATTTGCTTTTGCTTTTCCTTCTACATTTGCTTTTTGATGCTGCTTCTGCTTTTGCTTTTTGCTTCTACTTTTGCTTCTGCTTTTGCCCTTTGCTGTTGCTTTTTGCTTTTTGCTTTTGCTTCTGCATCTGCTTTGCATCTGCTTTTGCGTCTGCATTTGCCTTTTGCTTCTGCTTCGGCTTTTGCATTCTGCTTTAGCAATTAGAGCCTGTGCTGCTGCAGTAGAGACCCCGTGCTGCTGCAAGTGGCCAGCTTCCAAAGCTGCGCTGCGCGCAGTGGCCAGGGTGTAACGAACGGGCGTTGCTGCAAGCGGCCAGCTTCCAATGCTACGCTGGTTGCGGTACAGACCCTGTGCTGCTGCAAGTGGCAGCTATTCCAAGTTGACTACCCTTTGATGGCCCTTCCAAGTTGGCCCACCCTTTGGTGAGCCACCCGTGGGTAAAGTTTAGAGAAGGATGTTGTCATTCCAAGTTGACTAACCCTTTTGTCGGCAATGCAGGGGCAAAATTTAGAGCAGGATGTTGCCATTTCAACTTGACTCACCCCTTGTGTGGGCAATGCAGTGGTAAAATTTAGAGAAGGAAGTGGCCATGCCAAGTTGACTCACCCTCCTTTTGTGGGCTATGCAGGGGTAAAACTTAGAGAAGGATGTTGCCCTCCCAAGTTGACTCACCCTTTGGTGAGCCACTTGAGGGTAAAATTTAGAGAAGGAAGTGGCCATTCCAAGTTGACTCACCCTTTTGTGGGCCATGCAGGGGTAAAATTTAGAGAAGGATGTTGCCGTCTCAACTTGACTCACCCTTTTGTGGGCCATGCAGGGGTAAAATTTAGAGAAG